TTGCACAAGTTTGCTCTTGTGCTTCCTCAGCAGCTTTCTGAGCTTCCTCTGCCTGCCCCTCTTAACAACAGCTTTGTCTTTCTTGCTTTGATACTCAGCAGTCCCCATTCTTCTGATTTGGGCTCTTCTGAGGGAAGGATGAATCCTCAAGGACAATGAGTTTTGAAGTTCTAGCTCCAAGTCCTCAGCAATGGCATCAGTGATCTCTGGCTGGAGGTCATCCTCAATGCAGTCCTTCTCATCCTCAGGGTTGTAATAGTCCCAGATTTGGAGGTCTGAGATTTGCTTCGCTGTGCTGCTCAGACTCCAATCTGCCTTTGCAGGCACTCCCTCACCATCTCTCCACTTGAGCCTGTCTCTGAGCCACTCAGGACTGTACCTCTTGGTGCCAACCTCTAAGCCCATCTCCTTAGCCCAGCTCTGAGACAGGAGTTCTACAAGCTTCCCTGAGGCTGGATCAGGCCTGTAGACCAGGATCCCATTCCTCACTGCAGCTCTGAGGACCCATTCATCTTTGAGGTTCTTCTCAGCCATTGCTTCTTGAGCTGCCACAACTGCAGTGACAATTTCTAAGGGGCCAACTTTCCAAACTGAGTGCTCCACCTTTCTCTGGGTCTGCCACTGGGCTCTGAGATCAATGAGCTTGTGTCTCACTAAGGCCTTGAACTGCTTAGCAAAATCAGTGTCAGTGATTTGCAACTTAGAGGTGCACTTCTCAGCCACAAGGCAGCTTAACTGATTTGCTAAGGCCATGGACTCAGTGGCTGAGTCACTGAACACTGAGGAGAAGCAATCCCTCATCCAAATGGATGCAGGGTACTGGGCAGCTTGAGCCTGGATGCTCCAGCTGAGGATAACTGAGTCCACATTGGCTGCAAGCTGCTGCATGATCTCAACCTTAGACATGAGCTCAGGGTGGCTCTGCCTCAGCCTCCTGTAGGGCAGCATGACTCTCCCAGCTGAGCTTCCCTGAGTCCTGGTGATGACCTTATCACCAATTTTGAAGGTTTCATCACTGAGCCAGGTGCCACTCTCTGAGATGTTGCTCAGTCTGGCCCATTCACCTGGCACAACTAACAGCCCTTTGCCAACTGAGCCAATGATCTCCTGAGACTCATCGGCATAAACTGAGTGCAGGAGCTGCCTGGCTTCATATGTGATCCTGTATCTATCCTCCCCTGAGATTCCAATGAGAGTGGTGGATCCTGGCTGAGGCAAAGCTGGCTTGGCTGCTGGTGCTGAGGGCTGGGTTGAGCTTGCTGCATCTTTCTGAATGTTGGCTTCTGCATCTTGCTGAGGGCTGGCTGGGACCATTTGCTCAGCATCTCCTGGAGCAGGGCTGGCTGAGCCAAAGAGACATTGCTCAGATTGGCTGGGTGGAGGTGAATCAAAGCTGCCCTGCTTCACCAGAGAATCTTGCTCAGGTTGGCTGGCTGGAGGGCTGCTGGCTGCTGATGCAAAGCTGAGCTGCCTCACTACTGACTCCTTGGGAGATGACTCAAAGCTGAACTTTCTTTGAGGCTGAGGTGTGGATGGTACAATGGGCCCTATCAACATGTCAGGCCCATGCTCTGAGTGCATGGCTTCACTGATGGCTAGCCTGACTGAAGAGTAGTCCTTGACATCAGCTGAGGCATGCAGTTCCTCCTCAGCAAAGACAGCTCTTCTACCTGTAGCCTTAGCCCACAAAGGCACCTGATCAGAGAATCCAATGACCAACTGAGACCTTTCTGAAATGAACTGGGCAGGGCTGCTGAGCCTGTTGCTGTCAGCTAATGTCTGCTGAGATGCACATGTTGCTAGCCACAATGTGTGGTCAAACTCTTGCCAGGTCAGCTTGGTCCTGGTTTGGGCTTCTACCTGGGAGATGTTTGTAACTAGCTCAGTGGACATGTACTTAGCATCAAGCCATTTGACCAGCTGAGCCTTAGTCTTTCTCCTGTAAGAGTCACTGTTGCAGAGCTTCTCTTTCCTGACTTCTCTTTCCTTAGCATCTGCCAGAAGCTCAGCCCTCTTTAGTGCAGGTATCTCAGGCACCTGAGCATTGTTTCTAAGCTCATTGGCTGTGAGCTGAAGCCTGCCAAGATACTCAGCAAGCAAATCCTGCTTAGCAATGGTGTGGCCACATGCTCTTTCAATGCTGAGCCACTGCTTCATTTTTGAGATGATGTCTGAGAATGGAACCTTTCTGCCAGCTCCTGAGGCTCTTTTCCTCTTGCTCAACTGATGTTTATTCTTGCTTTTGAGATCCTTCTCAGCCACAAGTTTTTCCCAATGCCCTTCCTTAGACAAGATGTTCTTCAGAGCATCCTTTCTGATGCCATACTTCTCCACTTGAGCTGCCCAGAAATCTTGTAGACTGCTGAAAGTGTCTTTGACTGCCTTCATCTCCTGGCAATATTTCAACTTAGTAGCAGCTGAGACTTCAACCCTTTTATTGTATGAGCCTGGTTTTTTTCTGTTTGTTGACTGAGGGCTGGCTTTTGGAGATTTGGATGGCTCTTTAGTCATCAATCTCTTTCTTTTCTGTGCTGCCTCAATAAGCTCAGGTTCATTTGTGGCTTGTGAAGCTTCAAACTCAGCTTGCTGTCTGAGTGCTTCATTCTTTTCTCTGAGAGCATCTTCCTGAAATCTGCCAAGCCTCTGCCTTTTGAAAGGCTGAAGTTGCAGGTGCAATGGCACTGGCTGAGCTTCTTTCTTCTGGCTTGCTGAGCCAAAGAACTTGCCCAGGCCATACTGTACCTTTCCTGAGCTGGCTGGTGAAGACTCAGGGCTGCCAGTGGCACCCTTCCCAGGTGTAGCTTCAGCTCCTCCACCTCTAGCTCTGACTTGCTGGGTCACCTTAGTCAGCAAAAAGCCACCATGAAGGTAGCACATTAGTGGCTCAGTTACTCAATAATATAATTGTTTGGATGGTACTCTATTGTGAGCACCAACTTTTGGGAGTAAAAGAAAAAACAAAACCATTTCTCCACCTTTCTTTGGGTAAAGCTGGCCCTTTCACTTTAGAAAGCCATAGTTGTGTTAAAATTTTAAAATGCAAGGTTTCCCAAATAATCAGATGCCTTATTAAACCCTTATTTAAAAACAGCATCCAGACAATTTTTCAAAGGGGTACCTCATGAGTGGCTCAGTTACTCAATAATATAATTGTTTGGATGGTACTCTATTGTGAGCACCAACTTTTTGGAGTGAAAAAAAACGAAACCCTTTCTCCACCTTTCTTTGGGTAAAGCTGGTCCTTTCACTTTAGAAAGCCATAGTTGTGATAAAACTTTAAAATGCAAGGCTTTCCAAATAATTAGATGCCTTATTAAACCCTTATTAAAAAACAGCATCCAGACAATTTTTCAAAGGGGTACCTCATGAGTGGCTCAGTTACTGAATAATATCATTGTTTGGATGGTACTCTATTGTGAGCACCAACTTTTTGGAGTGAAAAAAAAAACGAAACCCTTTCTCCACCTTTCTTTGGGTAAAGCTGGTCCTTTCACTTTAGAAAGCCATAGTTGTGATAAAACTTTAAAATGCAAGCTTTCCCAAATAATTAGATGCCTTATTAAACCCTTATTAAAAAAACAGCATCCAGACAATTTTTCAAGGGGGTACCTCATGAGTGGCTCAGTTACTCAATAATATAATTGTTTGGATGGTACTCTATTGTGAGCACCAACTTTTGGGAGTGAAAAAAAAGCAAAACCCTTTCTCCACCTTTCTTTGGGTAAAGCTTGTCCTTGCACTTTAGAAAGCCATATTTGTGTTAAAAGTTTAAAATGCAAGGTTTCCCAAATAATTAGATGCCTTATTAAACCCCTATTAAAAAACAGCACCCAGACAATTTTTCAAGGGGATACCTCATGATTGGCTCAGTTACTCAATAATATAATTGTTTGGATGGTACTCTATTGTGAGCACCAACTTTTGGGAGTGAAAAAAAACAAAACCCTTTCTCCACCTTTCTTTGGGTAAAGCTGGTGCCTTCACTTTAGAAAGCCATATTTGTGTTAAAAGTTTAAAATGCAAGGTTTCCCAAATAATTAGATGCCTTATTAAACCCTTATTAAAAAACAGCACCCAGACAATTTTTCAAGGGGGTACCTCATGAGTGGCTTTGTTACTCAATAATATAATTGTTTGGATGGTACTCTATTGTGAGCACCAACTTTGGGGGGTGAAAAAAATAAAATAAAACCCTTTCTCCACCTTTCTTTGGGCAAAGGCTCCAGGATGTCTGAGATGTCCAAGCCCTGAAGGACATTGAGTTCCTCAGCCTTGTGGTGGAGAGCTTTCTGCCTGCTGAGAGCTCCTTTGAAGTAATGAACTGCTGAGCTGTAGTAATTGAGCCACTGCTCAAAGGATTTGCTAAGCTTCTTCATCTCCTAGCTGGTTCAATGAAAGATCCCAAAAGATATAAACATAATTTAACTATATAATGAATTGTAATTATAATGAGTTTACCTCAAGCAGCTCAGATGCACAAAATTATACTCAAGTGCCAACAAGCTTCATCCCTGAGCAGCTGCATCTTAGTGACCAGGGCTCTCAAGTTACTGAGTGGCTTCAAAAGGATGCTCAGGGTGAAGAGGAGCAAAGAAGTGAATGCAAGCCATCCCTGAGTTTTGCAACATTGCATTCATGTTACAAGAGTCACCTTTACCTACATAATAAGAAACTTGTTGATAAAATAGAAAATTGAAAACATGAAAATAGGCAACACTAAGCTGTGCCCAAGGTCAAGCTCAGCTGAGGAAAAAATAGGATTGAGGTCCTTCAGCCTCACTGCCAGGTCAATAGAATTGCAACCTGAAGTGCAGGCTTGGTGCAAAACAAGAATACACTAAGAAAAGTGCTAGTTGCCTAATTAATTAAGTAATTAGTCAATTAATCATACCAAATGATTACTAACTAATTAATTAACTAATTACTTACTGATGTTGGATACTGAGGCAGACTCCTTTTTCCAAAAACGCTGCTCAGGTAAGCTGAGCCCTTGAATTGTCTCAGAATTCATTCTGAGCCTGTAGATCACTGAGGTGCCATTCCACCTCAGCTTCAATGTTCCACTGAGAAAGTAGGTCAGGCTCAGCCACATCTGAGAGGTCTATGCTGCTAAGCACATTGAGCCTCTCAGCCTTGGTTCTGAGTCCTACTTCCCTGCTATGTGCACTGAGCCAATGTTGCTTAGCACAGCTGAAAGCATGTGCTGAGGCCAGCAACTCATTGATGTCATTCTCAGGTTGGTGGCGGGCCCAAAGTACTGAGAGCTCAGGTCGCTGAGTGTTCTCCACCACCAGGGTCTCCTGCCTGAGCTCTTCATCTGAGGCAGTCCTGCTGTAGAGTGCCTGAGCTGGCTGAAAAGGTTTCAAGAAACCAACAGACCTCAACAAAAAACATCCAACAACATGTTCCTCTTCACAAAAAAAGGAAACCAAATGAATTCAAGTACCCTGAGGAATCGATTGTACATGACACCCTCCCTGGTGGCTAAGATAGCAGTGCTCAGCAGCAAGTCCCACTCTGTGAACTGAGCTTCTTGGTCCCAGTGGGAGACAGGTCCACTGAGAAGTGCCCAGCGCTTCTTCACTAAGAATTCTGAGAACAAAGCTGCACCACCTGCCTGAGGGTCAAACTCTTCAAAATGCTGCTTGAGGTGCCTCAGAGTGTCCCAGGTACTTCCTCCAGTCATATCCATCCTGAGCTCCATGGCCCTGACCTTCTCTGAGATGAAGTCAAGCCTCTGCTGAGAATGATCAGAAGCATACCAAAGGTCATCTCTGAGGTTCTGCAGAACCTGCACCAAGGTGCTGAGCTCAGTCTTGAGCCCCAGGAGGAAGATGAAGCAGAGAGCCAAGCCTGAGAGCCAAGCCTGGTGTTGTTTTATGCTCCCAGGCAAAAACAAACAAGTAGTTTTTACCATTGGCCTAAGCAATTTTTAACAGCTGATCCAAATATGGTACTGCTTGCTGCCAAGAAGCAACCTGAGGTGCATGAATGACATCTGATACCTGGCTGAGCCTAGCCTGTAGGTCCACTGAGGTACCACCTAGGGCTACCATCTGAGGAATGAACAAAAACATGTTGAACCATGCAATCCAAGGACCCAAAAACAAGTTGTTATGTAGCTGAGATGCTAGCCAAGCTGATGCCTGTGCTGCAAGCAAGAGCCATGATGCAAACCATCTTCAGCTGAGGTCCCATGGCTCCAAGAGAAGAACTGATGACTGATGCTGATGAAGGTTGCTGATGTGCTGAGATCAGAAAAAGCTGCTGAGGCACATGGTGCCCAAGAGACTGAGATGCTGAAGACAGACTAGCTCAAAGGCTGACATGATATTTGTGCTACTGTGTCTAAGACTAGGTTTATCTCCTGCGAAATCATTAATTAATTAATTATAAATAATTAATTAATTAGCAATCAACAATAAGGTGCAAGCTCAGGAACTTGAGAGGCTCAGCCCAGATGAAGCCACCAAGCTGAGGATCACAAAGGCCTTCAGCTGAAGATTCATGGCTGTAGCCTTGGCTGCCATGGAAGCACATGGAAACACATGCCATTAATTAATTGATTATGTTTTAGTTCATCCTAAAATTTTAAAAAAAATAACCAGAAACAAAAACATGACTAAACTTGATTGAGAAGCCAGGAAGCAAATGCAGTTGCAACTGGGTGCTCAGAGTGCTGAAGCTTGGATGTTGGATGCTGCTGTGGTAGCATGGAGGCTCAGAACAGCCCTAGATGAAAACTTAGAAAGGAATGTCACCAACTTAGGGTGGCCAACACTCAGTGCCAAGGCTTAGTAGTGGCTGCAGCCAACCTAAGTATGCCTAGTATGCTAAGTTATATAAATTCTACTTTAGATAGCCTTTCCCATGTGTGGCCTAGATCCTTAGCTAAGCATTAATTAGTAGTGACAACATCCTCCCCTGATCATGCTAAGTCAAATCTGAGTGATTGCAGCCAGCTCCAAGCCACTTTTTCATCCAGTGCATCTGAAATATGATGCTGTTGAAGAGCTGATGCATGCTGAGAATGCATCAAGTAGACAAAAAATCATGACCAAGTCATGGCTGAGGGTTGCTTGGGCTGCGCCAAGCTTCTAAAAAGTAGAAGTCACCTAAGCCCCATCAGAAGTGCATCTGCTGAATCTTACTGTGCTTGCTGAGATGATGTAGCCCTGAGACTTTTCTTCACATCTTCAGGTCCTGCCAGGGGGAACAGTATAAGGACAAGGTCAGCTACATGGGCACTGCACTAAGAAGAACCACTACAATGTATTAATTAATTATAATGTGTATTTCTTGGGAAACTAGTTCAGAAAACAATGGCAACAACAACAGAAACAGCAGCAGCATTGACATATTTTCCCTGCCAGCTGCTTGCCATGGCTTGTGATGTTTCAAAAAATAAGGTAATCTGTTAATTACCTAGGTTCATCGAGTGTTCATCCTCAGGAATTACCTGAGTATTCCTCAAGCTTCTCAATCCTTGGCTTCTTGCTGAGACCAGGAGGCTCAGAAACTAGATCAGAAGGAATGGGCTGCTGAGCATCATTCTGCCTTTTCTGATGCAGTTCCAATAAAACCTGAGGGCTTAGACCAAGAGCTTCCATCTGACTGAGAATCTGCTCAGCCTGCTGTTCTTTTACCTTCCTCAGTTCCTCCTGAGCCTTTGCCATCTCTTCCTCATCCTTCTTCTTAGCCAGGAAAGCATGAATCCTTTCCTGAGCTGCAAGGATGCAATTCCTGAACTCAGTCAAGACATCTTGCTCCTTAGCCATCTGCTCAGCATCTTTGAAGATCCTCTGCAAAGTGGCATCCTGAGCCTCATAGGCTTCCTCAACAAGCAGAAGCTTCTGAGAGAGGGTGGCTTCCAACTGCTCCACATTTGAGGCATCAGGACTAAGGTCAATCTCCTTCAGCTGATTGATAGCCTGGCTGATGCCATTCTCAGTGTCAATCTTAGCAAGCAATGACTTGCAGTACCCCTGAGCAAAGCTGGGGTCATCAGTCTCAGCAGAGGCAGCAGCTTCAGGTGGCTGAGAAGGTTCAGCATCAGCTTCAGCTCGAGGTAGCTCACAAGAAGGAAGCTCAGCAGGCTTAGGAGGATTCAGTTTGTGCTTGAACTGAGATGTCCAGTAAGGTGTTGAGATGATTTTTTGCCAAGGCAATGGAGCCATGTTGAGAACCACCTGATAATACTGAGCAATGACTCTCAGAGGCCACCCATTGACATCCTGCAAGGTTGCAAAAGATGTGAACTTAGTAATTAATTGGTTAATTATATAATTGATGAAGACTATGCACCCAAGCTAAGAAATACTGATCAACAATTTCATGCACCCATGTTCCAACCCATCTCCTTGCAGGTATTGCAACCATTCTGAAATGGGATCCTGCTGAGTTTCACCTTAGCATGGCACTGAGGACAAAGAACATCAGGCTCTCCATCATACCGAGGGTAGCTCAGGATCTTCTCAGGATTTGCTCCAGGACCAAATAGGTCCTCCACTGAGGGAAAGCTTTCTGGGATGAGCTTGAGCTGAGGATAGCCACCCCTGACAGTAAACTCCATGCCAGATGGGACCAAGTCTGAGTAATCCTTTGTGTACTTTGCCATGGCTCAGTTACTGAGTTGCAGCTGAGCACATAGGCAGATGGGCTGAACTATGGGCTTGAGTTCACCAAGCAGCTGAGGAATCACACAAGCATGCATTGCTGAACAAAACTGAGCACAAGTCCAGGACCATTGGCAAGCTGAGAACCAACCCCACAGCCCCAGAACCAACCCTCACTCCTCTAAGCCTCTAAGCTTCTCAGCCTTCTTCTTCATCTCCAGGCCTGATTCCAGTAGGTAAATTGCATTCCTTACTGAGAGACCTTCTCTTGCAAGAAACAGAGAAAGCAGGCTTTGCTTCTCTTCTTCAGAGGTCTTATCTTCCTTGAGTCTTTTCTCAGCATGACCACCATCCTCAGCATTGCCATCATTCTGATGCTTTCTTTTGAGATGATTGTTCTCTGTGAGCATCACCACATCCTCAGGTCCTGCCAGGTGGAACAGTATAAGGACAAGGTCAACTACATTGGCACTGAACTAAGAAGAACCATTACAATGTACTAATTAATTAATTAATTACTTACAAGTAATTCTTGGAAAACTAGTTCAAAAAAAACAATGTGATTAACAACAGAAACACATCAGCACATCAAATGCATTTTGCCACTTCAGCTGCTTGCCATGGCCTGTGGTGGCACAACTCAGTCTCAGCTAAGATACTTTTAAAAAATACCTGAGTCTTTTGCTCAGGCTTCAAGCTACTCAGGCTCCCCCTCCTCAACTTGGACATCCACCATATCAGAATCCTGATGCTCTTCAATTTTTGCCTTCTTGGTGCTTGGACCAGACTCAGCACTGGCAGCCTCAGAAGGAATGGGCTGCTGAGCAGCATTCTGCCTCTTCTGATGCAGCTCCAGCAAAGCCTGAGGGCTTAGACCAAGAGCTTCCATCTGACTGAGAATCTGCTCAGCCTGCTGTTCTTTTACCTTCATCAGTTCCTCCTGAGCCTTTGCCATCTCTTCCTCCTCCTTCTTCTTAGCCAGGAAAGCATGAATCCTTTCCTGAGCTGCAAGGATGTCAAGCCTGAAGTCAGTCAAGACATTTTGCTCCTAAGACATCTTCTCAGCATCTTGTAGGAGCATCTTCATAGTCTCATCCTGAGCTGCATAGGCATTGTCAAGGAGCATAAGCTTCTGAGAGAGGATGACTCCCAGTCTCTCCAAATCTGAGACATTAGAACCAAGGTCCATATCCTTCAGCTGAGAGATGGTAGCTGCCATGCTGTTCTGAGGGTCAATATGAGCAAGAACTGACTTGCAGTACCCCCCAGATAAGAAGAGCTGAGCCTTCTGAGCAGCCTCAGGTTCAGGATGCCCAGGTGGCTGAGCAGTTTCAGCATCTTGA